CGGCCCAGCCCCTTGTCAGGGCTCCTCATCAGTGATGTCCAGGATGCTGCCCAGCAGCGCGGTGAAGGTTGGGCGCTCCTCGGCCTTCTGCCGTGCGAGAGGGGGGAATCCCTGCTGGAGCCTGCCAGCCGCCCCACCGCTCCCCGCACCCCGGCGGAGCTGCAGAGCCATGTCAGCCCCCCCAGAGCAGCTGGGGGTGGGTGATCACCGAGGGTGAGAGCAACCTACCTCATGCCAGCAGCTGTACATGATGGCGTAGACCCGCTCTGAGGCCTGCTGCGGCCGGTAGAGGCGCAGGCCTTGGATGACGTGCTCTGTTGTCTCGCTGTTATTAAACCTCTCATAAGGCATCTTTCCCAGAGAGTAAACTTCCCACATCAGAACGCCTGTTAGAGGAAATGGTAGGGACAGTTCATGGCACGGGAGCGCCTGTGCCTGAAGCTGGTTTGCAGAGGACCTCACTGTTGTGGGGCACCCTCTCTTCCCGATGTCCGAGTCATTAATGCCATGCTCTTACCAAAAGCCCAGATGTCAGACTTGCTGCTGAACTTGCTGTACAGAAGCACTTCAGGGGGAGACCACCGCACTGGAAACTTTGACCCCATGGAGCTTGTATACTCGTCATCTAGAACGTACCTGCAGCAGATAAATGGATCAGGGTGCCTGTCCTGGATTTCACGTTTCACTCCTCCATGCAACCAACCAAGCCCAAAAGGAGTTGACAGCTCTCAGAGTGACCAGAAGTTGCACTCTGCATGGGTTTCAATAGGCAGAAATGTCCCTTTGCAAACGAGTTAGTCAAGATAGGGGAAGGGATAGGGTGACACAGAAGCATAGCAAAAAGGGGATGGCTACAGCAAAAAGCTGTAGCCAGGAGACTAAAGGTAGGGGAAAGAAGCAGCAGAGAGGGGGAAAAGGGACAGGGGAAGTAAGAAAGGGGTGGTGGAAGTGGAGGGGCAGAAGGTTGAGCCAGATAGATGAAGCGGAAAGATGGGAGAAGATGGAGGAAAAGCAGAGCTGGAGGATGGTGGGGAGAAAGACTGAAGTGCAGAAGAGACTGAAGGAGGAGATGGGGGATTGAGACAGGAAAGTGACACAGACTTATCTACCAGACCTGGAAAGGCCAAAATCTGATACTTTCACAATTCCTTGGTCGTTCACCAAACAGTTTCGAGCAGCCTGTGGATGGAGAGATGGAGGCAGTCACTCCTATCTGCTCCTGCCTCTCCCATCCCCATGTACCATCTGGAACTTCATCTTGCCCCCACCCACTTAACAGTTTGCCTCACTTTGTCCTGCAGGTTCACCTGGACTGGGGCAAGCTACGAAGTCCTCAGCAAAGATAGCAAGAGAGGTCTCCAGGCATCTTGTTTATCTATGGAGGGGTGACTTCCCTGGCGGGATTTTGCCTGAACAAAGCGGCACCAGGAGGAGATCAGGTATGGCACCTAGCAGGACTGCAAGCTAGCAGTGCTAGCCCAAGGCCTGACAAACTGCAGGCTCAGCTTTTCATGTGGGTCCAGAGGTCCCTCTTCATGTCTGAGCCAGCAATGCTGCCTGTGCTGCCTAACGCAAACCCTGCCCTAGCCACAAATGCATTTCCTGTCCCCTGGAAAACTGCCTAGTCCTGGCCTTTCTGCAGTCTCTGCTAACACTGCAGAGCAGTGACTTCAGAGCATCCCGCCCATGCTCAGGTGGGCAGGGAAGCTTAGAGGGATGTTCTGCAGAGAAGGCTGCAGAGCTGCCTCTCCTCATTTGACGAACTAGCTGGACCCTGCCGAGGACGTGCTGTGGCTGTCACTGAGCTGGAGATGTGTCCTTCAGCCACAGCCCTACCAGGTCTCGGTGCAGGAACTGCTTGGATTCCAGGTACTCCATAGCTTCACAGACGTCCTTGCACATCTCCAGCAGCTCAGCAGGCTGGAACCGCCGCCGAGTTTCCCTCAGAAAGTTCAGGAGGCAGCCATTGGCCATGTACTCGGTGATGATGAAGATGGGACGCTGCTTGGTGCAGACCCCATAGAGCTGCACCAGCTTCTCATGAGACAGGTTCCTGTATTGGGGGCAAGAGGGGCAATTCTGAGCATCTAGAAGGCCAAGCAGCAAAAGAAGCATCTGTGAATAGAGTTTGGGAAGGGAAGGTGTTCCTGGCCCAGTCGATGGTAGAAAAGCTCACCGGGGAATCAGCATAAAGGCAGTAGGTTCTTGGATGCATTTTGTGGAGTGTGAGGCTGCCTGAGACTGTCCCTCCACATCACCCAGGAGTGCAGCCATTCTGGCAAGGCATATCCAGCACTGACCTGCAGGCTGCTCACCACTTACATCATGACTTTGGCTTCGTCGATAAACTCATCCTCTGACATGGAGCCCTCCCTGATCATCTTGATAGCAACGTTGAACTGGCCTCTCCATTTCCCGTACTTCACCACACCAAACTGCCCCGTCCCCAGTTCCTTCAGGAAGGTCAGATCCTTTGGGTCAATCTCCCACGACCCTAGGACAGAGAGTGCGAGCGTAATGTGGGTGCAGGTGACCTTCCTGCAGGGTGCTCCCCGTCATTTGATCTACAAGCCCAAGAAGAGCTCACGAGCATGGGCTGCCTGAAAAACCATCCCAAAAAATCCACGAAATCTGAGACCTGTTCCTCCAGGGGATGGGGAGCAAAGTAGCTTGTGGCGTCTCTTGGTCAGTACTGTCACCAGAGGGCCAGTGAGTGTTGGGAAGTGGTTCCTGGGAAGGCTGTGAGCCCTGTTACCATGGGACAGCCAGGATCCCAGCCTGGGAGAGTTACTGCTGGTAGAGACGGGGCCTACAACCAGGGAACAGTGAGGTAGCTGAGGCCAAATTACCATAGCCGAGGCCAGCTGTGGAAGGAGCACTTTTCTGGTGTTGAGACACGGGGTACTTCAGTCTGGATATGAGCCCTGAAACACAAAAAGGTAGATTGCCACACCACGCTTACCCGCCATGTTCCAGCAGGGAACACAAGCCTCCTGCCTTCAGCACAGGAAGGTGAGGATGCTGTCGTGTCAGTAAAAACACTGCTGACCTCACTCTGTCCCCCAAACACTGACCGGCAGAGTTGTGCTGATGGTATGTGATGAGCTCCGGGATGGTGTTGAACAGGTGCTTTTCTGCCAAGTAATACTGATTCTGGGGGGTGCAGCATACAACATAATGGCGGATTGTGCCTTGGGGGTCTCTGGGGAGACAGTACGTGGGGTCAGCGGCATGGGGAGGACAGGCAGAGGGTGCAGGGTGCCTGGAGGGGCCCTCTGAGGTAGGAACAAGCTGTTCTTAGATCCACTTACACAGAGGACTTGGCATAGACGGAGACAGTGTATTTCCCCATCTTGCTGGTGGAGTCTCGGACAATGAAGCCCCCTTCCTTACCCTAAAACAGAAAGGGGAGAGGGGACGGGGTGGTTGTGGGGAGGCATGACTGTAACAGGCAAGACTTAAAGTGAGTAAAGATCACAGCATGGCTGGAGAGGGCATGATAAGTCAGAGGAGTCCTACTTCCAGTCCCTGCCTGGGGGGCCACCTGAAGTGCCTGCCAGGAGGAGGTCACGTTGGGGTAGAGATAGTTCCTGGGGCTGTTGGGGTGACACTCCCCTCCCAGTGCAAGCCAGGGTTAGTCCCATGCTGAACACAACGTGACAGCAGCCCACGGAGGGCTGGTGTGTAGAAAGGACCCAGCCTTGGGAGTCAAAATTTACCTCCTGTTTCAGCAGTTGCTCCGCTTGGCTCCGAGTGATATTCTTTGAGTACCACCTGGAACAGGGACACAGTCGTCAGGGAGATCACTGCAGCCACCGCAGTCCCCAGCCTGGTCTGACCCTAGCCCAGCCAGGACAGGTGGTGCAGGGAGCAGGGCAGGGATGGCTGTCACAGGGCCGGAGGCTCTCGAAGTGTGTGCAAGAGGGAGAGTGACCCAGCCAGGCTGGGCTCGCAGGCTGCATAGGTTAACAGAACTGAATGTAAAAAGACTCCAACCAAGTGCAACTTGCCCTGTCCCTGCACCTTCTCTTACTCACTCAAAGATCTCCAGGGAATTGCTGGTTTCAGTGACATAGTTGCTGGGGATGTATCCTTCCCTCCTGCAGGAGAAAAGGGGCTGGTCACACACTGATGGGGGAGGCCGAGGGGAAAGCAGGTTCCTGTCCCAGAAGGCTGAGTAGAAATAGGCTCAAAAACCTTGGCGCAAACCCATTTGTGTTCATGCTTGGAGAGGGCTGATACCACAGCCTGCTTCAGTCTCCCTCACCCTCCTCATGTGCCATCCCATGCAGGGGCAGGCAGGCAGGCAGCCTATCCTAACCCCCGCAATGCTGAAGAGGTGTGTTTGCCCACCAGTGCCTTGGCACCAGGAGAGGGCACCGTTGCAGGGCGAGTGCTGCAGGCAGTGAGAGCTCTTACCCATTCTTGTCACGGGCTTTCCACCAGGGCAGGTGGCTTTCCTCCAGGATGAAGTACTCCTCGCCCTTCTGCAGTTGCAGGTCCTGTGCATTCATCGGCAGGTAGTTGTAGAGGGCCACCACCTTCTTCATCTCGCCTGCTGTGGTGGGGGCCGGCTCAGGGGGCAGGGGCTTCATCACCATCTTTCCCAGAGCGAGGGAGAGCATGGGACATGGTGAGGCTGGCAGACACACTGTTTCCCAGGCGAGACCCTCCCCAGGCCTGGCAGGGCAGTGGGCTCAGGCCAGGTCAGTGCAGTGTTTGTCTCAGCTCCCACATGTATCCCCACCAGGAGACCAATCCCCCTTCGGCGCTTTTTATTGCAACATTTCCTCCTTGGAGACCTGTCCTCACAAAAGATTATGTGTTTTCTCCCTACCTTTTGGCTTAACCTGTGACTCCTCCACCCTGTATCAGGGCTTTCCTATCCTCCCAGCTCCCCCTGGGGAACCTCAGGGGTGAGATCATTTGCCTTTCCTCCATCCCCTAGTTCAAGCTCCTTCTCCCTTAGGGCACCATCTTGACATCCCTCTCCAGAGCAATGCCCTGTCAGTCATTGAACGTGTTGGCTTTTGCCAGGTAGACCTTTCCTTAAACACCTTGGAGCAAACCCACATGCTGACACTGACCCCTACCTGGTCCTCCTCAGGAGTGGGGGGAAGAGGCTTCTTTGTCTTGCGATGTGACCGTCCAACTTTTAAACCTTCAGAACAGAAAAGGGACTAAGGTGAGAAGAGATCCCCGGCGTCGTGCTGTGGTGGTCCCCAGGGGCTTGGGATGGGGCAAGGGGAGGGTGCCCAATGTCTTACTGCCATGCCCGCTCTACAGGAGCTGGCAGCCCATGGCGTTCTTGGCTGTCTGGGAGCAGCACAGGTACTGGCCGTCGATCCAGAAGCAGGGGTGATACTTCTGTACCAGGTCGCTGTTGTACCGGATCACTGTAGCAGAGGAGGGGAGATATGTGCGACCCGGGGCTGTGTCCCCAGCCCGCTGTGGAGAGCTCTCTGCTCCCTGAATGCAGATGATCAGCCCCATCAGCCCCATTAAATCACTTCATCCTCTCTGTGCTGCTCAGGTTTCCCTCAACTCCTTGCTCATGTTTTAGTGCTGTGGCTATGCAAACCCTGTGCCACGAAACCCCTAGCCTGGGGAGAGCCAGGCCGTTCCTCAGATTTGATCAAAGCTCTTCAGCAGCTCTGCAAAAGAACATGAGCATGCTTGGAGGGGCAAGTCCTGCTGTGACTGGCCCTCCTGTCAGCCAAAACATCCAGCATCCCCTGGGCTGTGGAGGCCCACGGTTTGCAGCTCTTTTGAACCCTTTTTTTTCAGAAGTGGAGAGTGCTGTGCCTGGCTTGTCCATGGGGAGAGCAGGGCACTGCCACCATCTGCTGCCTGCTCAGAGACTTCCCTTGCTGGGAGACTGGTCCCTTGCCAGGCAGGCACCGACTGGCTTCTTCATACTTCTCCCCAAACTAGAGGGACAACTGGATGTGCCTAAACACCATCGCAGCACAGTGCTGGCCCACAGCAGCTCTGCAGGGTGCAGAGAGCCCCTTCTCTGGTGGAGCAGGATGCGGGCATCCCAGCAGCAAAAGGCGAGCATTTTCTTTCCCCTTTTCCCTGTGGATTTTACACTGGCTTCAGCTGCCACAGCAACCCCCTCCTGAAGCAGAGAAGTGGGGAGAGGGCTGGCTGCTTGCCAGGGCAGAGCAGCAGGGGTCTCATGAAATAACCGACTTCCCCGTTATCGGCCTGCTCTGCTTCCGCCTCGCTCGGGCAAACTTCCCTGTGTCAATTCGAGCAGCTAATCTCGCCCCACCAGCACAAAGTCACAGAGAGATACACATGCGCTACGAGACACATATGGGCAGCTCCAGCAGATTTTGGCCAACTGCAAGCTCCCGAGCCCCTCTGCGCAGTGCTGCTGCAACATGCTCTCAGCTTGAGGAGGTAGCACCCAGGCAGCTGAGCATTAGCTCAGCAGCACCAAGCGAGGCTTGGGGTGGGTTGGGAGAGACGCTCCCTGGCTTCCAGCAGGCTTTTCGTCTGTGTTTCCTAAAGCACTGGGGGCTCTACCCTCACCTTGCATGCCAGTACAGCTGCATGGCCACATCTGCTATTTCCTCTCACCCTCAGTAACTTCTGAGCCTGCTTGAGCTCATTGGGAGCAGGCTTGTGAGAGGGCAAGAAGCCTCAGCCGAGGTAGCTGCAGTGCTGCAGAAGTCAGAGGGTAACAGAGGTGAGGGTCCACCTCTGCCGGGCAGGAGCTGCTAGCATCAGCTCAGGGATGTTAGGGAGCGTGCATGTGGGGGCATGGCCTTACGAGTGTGCTTGTCACGGGAGAAGTTTCTGATCAGCACTCGCTC